CACCAATGGCTTCTCAGGGATGGGCTGGGCATCAGTCAGTGGGTGGTGAACAATTGCATTGTGCATCGCTTATTTGCTATATTCTTTTATCATTATTATTATTTTCTCTTCCTTTGCGGTCCTATTAAGCTGTCTTTATCTCAGCCCATGGGTTTTACCTTTTTTTTTTTTCCCTGATTCTCTCCCCCATCCCACTGAGGGAGGGGGGAGTGAGCGAGTGGCTGCATGGTGCTTAGTTGCCAGCCAGGTTAAACCACGACAAAAATACAACAGAATTAAGAACCAGTTCTTAATCCCAACTATTTTACACTGGCAAGACTTCCTTTGAGTTACCTGGAAAATTTTCTGGTTAAGCGTACAGTACTAATAAATAATGATAACAATAATAAATAAACAAATAAATTGTTTGTACAAGTAGATTATTCAGAAGTACCAACTTTCACATTCAGTACCATTGTATACGTACTTGGCAATGTCCATGTCCTTGTAAAAGTCTTGAGAAACATAACACACATCTTCTTTCACTTGATTAATCACATGCGTTTCATCCATAACATGGAGCTGTCTGTGAAAAAACGAAAACCAAAACCACAGAAGTTTGAGGATAATTCTTAGAACTACCTGTCCTGTTTTCCACTGGAGGTGAGCAACCATAATTTTCAAATCGCAAAAAGCTGCTGTCTCAATATTTAAAACGTGTATTCAATTTACAAAAGCATTTTTGGCCTACTTAAGTTTAATATTTTCCTATTTCACAGTTCAATAAATGCAAACATATACCTGCATTTGCCCCATGTCTTCATAAAGTGCATAGCCATACTCCTGCAATTAGCTCTACTAGCAAAGACCTTTACGCAGATAAAGTTCCAATCTAAAGGATTCTAATGAAAAGTTGAGCCTTTTGAATTTATTTGTGGTAGTGACAGACTCAGCTAGCAAACTGACTGATGATCTACTGAGACATCTCAGAAAATATGTAAGGACTTGTGTAACTGTGAATACGCAGGTAACCTCAGCGACTCCAAAAGCACTGGCACTTTAAAAACTAACAGCCTAATTCTTCAAAGAGCTTAAGCTCATCTTAATTCATCTTCAATTTAAGCTCAAGATGGCAGCTAGCAGGCTCCTAACAGACAAAAATTCCCTTCTCCTTTAAACAGCATTTAATCTAAAATTCACAGAACCAGTAAGAATATCCCCACAAACTTCTAGCTCATTTCATACCGGGTCTCATGATGATGATCAGCAGACTTTACCTGTAAGAGATTATCTCCTTCAGATGGTTGGTTAAGAGTTTTCCTCCAACATTAATCCTAAAGAAAAGGAGTAACACAAGGAATCCTGTCATTGTTAACTTCAGGCACAGCAAACAATTCTTCCAGAAAATATGTACTGCAGTTTACCTGATGATTGCCTCTTTCTTCTTTTTACTTCTACAATAAGGTACAATGTGTGTAAAAGAGTATCCACTATCCACAATGATACAACATAGCTCAGATGGATTGTCCCGGAAATACCTGTGCGCACTAAGAGCTCCAGCTGAAATACAGAAAATTTCGTTCAATTTGTATATGAATACACACTTTTAGAATTTACATTGATATGAAAGCGTATTTGCTTCATATTTTACATGCCTTTGACAGACTTCCCAGACCTCAGTACATAATACTACAGCCAACACATGAATTAATTTTGACAGTGGATAAAATTACGTATCGTATATGCCCCCTTTTATTCTTTTTCAATAAATCCAGTCCGTGTTCAGTTTCCTCTCCTAAAGTCCAAGCAGACTGATCACACCACAATTAATCAAACCTATCTAAAGGAGTACCCCGTGTCCAGCTACCTTTCAGAAGGGTTGTGATGTTATTTACACACTCCCTCCAAGATTCAATACATTTCATGACTGTAATGCTGCATTTTATTTGCCAATACAAAACAAAACCAAACAAAAGACCACCCCCCAAAAAAGAGGAAAGCTATCAAAGACTTCATGCAAATTTTGGTAGACCTTCTCAAATGCTATCCTGTTTCAAAATCCATCTGTTACCTCTGTTATCCTGACTCCTCAAAAATTTCCTTTAATTTTATACCATGACTCTTAAGAAAGTACTTAAGAGTACAGGTGAAATTTCTAAAAAACCCCATGTTTAATCCCAGTTAGGGTACAAATAGGAGCATATTACTCAAGAGCCAGGAAGGAAATTAAGTCATTTCCTTGCCAGCTTGTATATATACAAGTGTGTGCATATGCATGCATCCTTATTTATTTCTTTACCAGGTTTACCTTCAAAATATATGAATGCAAAATAGAAGGAGACAGACTCACCATTTACTCTAAGAACTGCTTGAAATTGATATTCTTCAAATAGAATTTCATTCATGGATTCTTGTATTGAACTGAAGTTAAAATAAGGTTCGGTAATAATTATATTGGTATCTACAAAATCCACCTATGAAAAGTACATTAAGATTGTCATTACACAAAGCTCAGAAATTAATACTCTATCACCGTATTTTGCAGCAGTAGAAGATCATGTAAATTTGAAGACATGATTACCACTTGCCGTATCTGTTTGCAGAAGCTAGGCTTAGAAAGTTTTAGGTTTTTTAAAAAAGACTTCGTGAGTAGTGATACAACTGGGAACTCCTTCATACATATTCTGCTCCCGTTACCATCCTTACAAATCATAATCCAACATTGTAAAGAGATACCCATAAAGGAACACTACAATACTAATGTAAGATACTTTACGCTAATCCTGTCCGCTACAGAAAGGTAAGTCCCTTCAACAGCTCAGCACTTGCATCACAAAATTACTTATCTGATAACCAAAGATGAAGTCATGTGCAAAGAAGAATCAATAATAAAATGCCCAGTGACTTCTAATGAGGCCAGCAAAAGATCCTGGACTTTCCACATTTACCAGTATCTCAAACTCCTTTAGAGAGGACTTCAGAGGGTCACTTCATTCAAAACTAGGTATGGCCCTCAACCAGCTGGTATTACCAGCTTTATCTCTCTGTAGTCTACACTCATGATAAAGAATTAAACACAAATTCTCCTCGAAACATGAATAAATTGAATCTATTCCAAAACTAAAATGAAAGTATCAAAAGCCAGCACTGTATATTTTTATGTATGGAGACTAAGATATTTTGAGGCATTAGTTTCATTCTCAGTACCATTCTGCCTCCTAGGTGTTAGAGAAACCAAAAACTTTCAGAGTATATAACTTTTTTTTTTAAATAAAAAATTCAGGGGAAGCCTTACTACACTTCTTGTGTTAAACCCAGTTCGTGTGATAAACAAGAAAAATTAAGAAGCAGATATTTGTATTTTATACATTCAGCTTACTCATAAGTAGAAAATGGTTAGCCAAGGATGGTTACTTAATGTCTTATGTCTCTTGGCCTACTGACCTACCTCATCACTCTCTTTTACACATCAATAGTTTCTCGTTCTCTAAATCACATTGTATCCATCTATAATTATTACTTTTTTACTAACTTGAACTCTTAATCATATTGATGTGAATTTCTTAACATACGCAAACTGAAGTCAGTATGAATACACACAAGACTAAAAACATTAAATGTATTTTAAATTCCTACATCAGAGCTCGAAGTAAAAATTTTCTTCAGTTTGCAATAAATCCCTGCGATTTCTAATTGAAGGCACTTTCAAAGAGAACAGTAAACTCACCAGTTCTATTTAATATTTAATGTACTTATGTTAATTCCATTAGTCAGTATTTAACCTACACAAAATCTGTAATTAAAAAAAGGCTTACTTGATACATTTCTTTTCCAAAAAGATAATCCCAAACCTGTCTCTGGACATCCCAGTTCACCAAGTAACCCTGTAGGAGTTTAGAAAAAAAACGCCACTGTTTAGAAAATAAAATCATACTTAAATTACTAGAAATCAAAAAATGCCAAGCAATTGATAGACTGGTAATATAAAGAAATTTTAGAGTAAAAACATCTAAATTCACATTTCTATGCTAAGGAGCTAATATTACATGGGATAAAGAATCTTACAAATATTCCCCATCAATGTTAATTACTACACAACATGAACAACGTAAACTGTGTTTCCTACATACATTATTCTCTTTGACAGAAGCCCGTCGGTCTGACCTTGTTTGCCAGGGAAGGTTATGGAGCAGATCATCTTGAGTGCCATCACATGGCACATACAGAACAACCAGGCGATCAAGCCCAGTCAGCATGGGTTTATGAAAGCTTGACTAACCTGACCTCCTTCTATGACCAGGTGACCCACTTAGTGGATGAGGGAAAGGCTGTGCATGCTGTCTACCTGGACTTCAGCAAAGCCTTTGACACTGTCCCCCACAGCATTCTGCTGGAGAAACTGGCTGCTCATGGCCTGGACAGGCGTACTCTTTGCTGGGTAAAAAACTGGCTGGATGGCCAGGCCCAAAGAGTTGGTGGCTGGTCACAAGCGGTGTCCCCCAGGGCTCAGTGTTGGGGCCAGTTCTGTTTAACATCTTTATCAATTATCTGGATGAGGGGATCGAGTGCACTCTCACCAAGTTTGCAGATGACACCAAATTGGGTGGGAGTGTCGATCTCCTGGAGGGGAGGAGGGCTCTGCAGAGGGACCTGGACAGGCTGGATCAATGGGACAAGGCCAACTGTATGAGGTTCAACAAGGCCAAGTGCCAGGTCCTGCACTTGAGTCACAACAACCCCCTGCAACATTACAGGCTTGGGGAAGAGTGGCTGGAAAGCTGCCTGGGAGAGAGTGATCTGGGGATACTGGTCAACAGCTGACTGAATGTGAGCCAGCAGTGTGCCCAGGTAGCCAAGATGGCCAACGGCATCCTGGCTTGTATCAGAAATAGTGTGGACCAGCAGGACCAGGGAAGTCATCCTTCCCCTGTACTCAGCATTGGTGAGGCCACACCTTGACTACTGTGTTCAGTTTTGGGTCCTTCAAGACGCTGCATTGCTGGAGCATGTCCAGAGAAGGGCAAAAAAGCTGGTGAGGGGTCTGGACTTGTGAGGAGCTGCTGAGGGAACTGGGGTTGTTTAGTCTGGAGGAGGCTGAAGGGAGACCTTATCACTCTGTACAGCTGCCAGAAAGGAGGCTGTAGCCAGGTGGGTGTCCGTCTCTTTTCCCTAGTAACAAGCGACAGGATGAAGAGGCAACAGCCTCCAGTTGTGCCAGGGGAGGTGGTTTAGATTGGGTAAGAGGAGAAATTTCTTCACTGAAGGGGTTCTCAAGCACCGCAACAGGCCGCCTTGGGAAGTGGTTGATTCCACATCCCTGGAGGTATTTAGAAGATGCATATACGTGGCGCTTAGGGACACGGTTTAGGGGTGGACTGGGCAGTGTTAGGTTTATGGTGGGAGTCAATGATCTAAAGGGTCTTTTCCAACCTAAATGATTCTATGATTCTATGACTGTCAAACTTCACACTGCTGAATTTGATTCTTGAAGAGGACTACATACCACCCTGAAAGCTATTCCTTAAAACAATTTACATCTGGCTATAATGTTTAACTCAGGATACCTTACTTACTTTCTGAAAAGGAAGAATATAGAAAAGACCAGAGGGATCTTTAATTTCATCCAGTTGATTTGCCGTAAAGGTTTTCAAGCGTGCAGTCTTTGATCTGAACTGACAGTTGGGAATAACGCTGGAAAAGATTGGGAAGTTTCCTGTTCATTGATATGAGACACATCCGTGGCCTTTACACTGCGCACTTTCAGTAACCCCTCTGCTGCCGTGTTTTGGTTTTAATCCGTTCATCGGTGCCAGTCACGAGAGAAACCTCTAGCGCCCGACACTTCGGTGCCGATTCCTTTAGGAATAACAAAACCACCACCCCCCT